GTCTCTCTTTGCTGATGGCCTTATCCAATCTGCTACTTGTGAGCATCCATGGTCGAATGAAGACATTTCATGCACATTTTTTAACTGAGAAAAATCTATCCATTGTAGATAACCATCATAGATGTGTATCATATTTTGCCATGATTTCATTAGGAACAAGTCCAGAGATTTGTTGCCAGTTGTCCAATTAGAATAAATTAGTCGTTTACACAAGAAACAGAAGTGAGTTATATAATGACACAATTGACCTGTACAAAATCGACATGTTGGAAATTTGCTTTTAACAAGAGCATATTTTTGCTGTAGCGGATCATATGTGAACCCGAAAACAATGTTAACATGTTTATCAAGTATATCCGGATAATCACTACATAACTAAAACAGTTATTAGTATTAATAATTCAATAGTAATAGCCATAACTAATAACGTGTTTGGCTACAATCGTGCAGTTTACCTTTTGATAAAATTGGTCATCTGACAAGTCTGAAGTCTCAAGTGGAATCAATTCTGTAAAAACGCTTACGGATGTGCGTCTATAGCGTGCGAATGTATATCTGTGAGTGTCATGCTCATTGCGAAACCCAAGCTTTTCCGGTAATGTTAGAGCAAGCAAATCAGACGGAGCAAACTGTAAGTGGAAATCATTTGCCGTCTCTGTTTGAATTTGTGATTCTCTAATAAAGTCGTCAAGTTTCTTGCAATTGCTGGTCCACCCATTCGATAACTCTTTTTGCCCACAAATGCACCACACAGGACTACATCTAAGTAATCCACATGCAGAGCAAAATCCATACAGAGAATAAAAGTGAGCAAATCGTTTGTCAGCCACAAAGTAGTAAGTATCTTCAATCATAGTAAATCCCTGTATTTCACATGCATTGCGCATCGCAAGTAGATATGGATATCTTTCGAATTGATCGACATTGGGCGGGAGAAGAGTCTGCGCGGAGAATGAATGAATTCTAGCAAACTCATTTATAAACTCATTCGTACATTTATCCCTGGATCCAAGCAATAATAGCATCGCTTCGGCTTTACCGTATACAGCATAGTAGATGGTCAAGTCAGCAGACTGCCGAAATAATTTCACATCAGTAATTTCTGAACCAGGTATCCATTCGAGCTGTCTATATGACACAAAGTCGCCGTCGTAAGTAGTCGAGGTTTCAATCAACTGGTCAATTGCCGGACATCCCGAAATAATTTGCAAGTCCGATGACATTTCGTTGAGTGTTGTTCGAAACGTTAGGTGGACGAAAAAACGATTATGAACCGTCTCAATAAATGATGATTACACAAATAAAAGTGACGTTGACGTAGTCATGGTGACATATCCGATATTGGAAATTAATATTATAACACCGTGCAATGGCGTAACCTTATTTTAATTACCATAATAGGGAAAAGGCTAAAGCGGAGCAGAACGTGATCCTGTATTTGCAGTTTTATTGGCTGCCATACAAATTTGACCAATGGAATTGCGAGGAATCTGCTTCGCTTTAGACATGCCCCATAATAGGTAAGTGAAAAATTCTCGCTTTACCAACATTCAGTGAGAATTGAAAATGTTTCATGTCATTATCCTATCAGATGTTAATTTGCATAATTTCATGTTATGAGCCGAATAACCGTTTTAACATTTATTTTACACGGAATTATAATGTTGATTAAATAGGTTATCATGGCTATGTCTTTGAATGTAAACGCTTGATCACATCACTCTTGCTTGCTAGGCTTTATCTAAACTTGCAATCTTTAAACGAATCATCCGTGACAAGTATTTTAACAATTAGACTCGCAGAACGTTTTACTTTCCGTATTAACCATGTTGATATGCGTGTTGCTAATGCTAGTGCTGTTCTGGCCTTAGCGCAATCCCGCCCGGTTAATAGGCACGTCTAATATCACGACGTTGTTTATGTAATAATAGCGCTCACGGCGGCCCGATTTTGAACTTCGCTACAGTTAGATAATAAACTGACCAATAATTGTCTGGAGCGAAGAACAGGCATATACATAACATAAAAATCATTGTATTCGTTCCGGATTCACAACGGTTTCCGTTTCCTAGAGTTTTATTGTTCCTTCGTGAATATTCTTTAAAACTCTTTTCTGCTGGTTATTACGGACTTTTGATCAATTTCTTTCATCTACACGTTTTGCGTAATAACCTCCAACCATAGTAAATGTTAAAGGACAAACGTTGGATCGTGAGCTAAATTTTCAATCATACTCGCATCAACTGTTGGTCTAGGTAGTCTCCGTATCGGCTTTGTTGGAATCATTATACCGATCACGGTTGATACTTCTAATTTATCTCGGTCTAGTAATCATAACTCAGGCAGTCTTCCGGAAAAGACGCTTGTTGGATTAAGTTATCGACAACCATAAATTTTTATTAAGAAGAAAACTCTGTCTTCAAGAGAAACAAGTAACGTATACGGATTATCATTGATGCAAGTTGACTTGAATGCTAACAGAAAGTCACGAAATTATATCGATTTGTTAAAAATTAAGCGCATACGTAGCTATTTTAACAGAGACACGATACAATCGAAAGAGATAAAAATTGCGATTGTCTAAAAGGCTATTCGATCCGAATAAAGTACAGTCAAAGCTGGTTATAACGAATTCTACGGGACCAAAGAAAATATTCTTTATAACCAGAAATTCCTTATAACCAGAAATTCCTTATAACCAGAAATTCCTTATAACGAAGGTCACTTTTTATAGCTAAGATTATGACTATTTATTGGCTTGGAGAAAATCTTCGTTATAAACAGATCTTCGTTATAATCGAAGTTTGTTATGGCCAGCTTTGACTGTATTATAATTACAAGCTACGAATGGCGAACAGACTATCGTAAACTAACCGGTTCTAGGCGACGAAGTAAACCGGACTCTTCTCGTATCTTTTATTTATTTTAATGTTCCAAGATAAAGCGCTTAACATACGCGGTTTCTGAATCTACTATATGTTCTCTGTATTTTACATATTTGAACAATTGTTACTGTAACATGTAAAGCACCAGTTTTTCACTAACTCACAATTTTTTATTCGTGACTTGTTATAAAAAATGACAAAAGTTACATAAAAATGTAATTAGGACCATAAATAACAGATGCCTTACAAAATTTGTGTTAAGAATTATATTATAATTGAAAGGAGAATTAGACGGCCATCATATACGCACGTTTGACTATTATTCTATTATTTAACTAATTTGAAGACGAAAGACGAAGGAGTAATCGTCCATAGCGATCATAACGAGGCAAAAATGAAGATTACAAGATTGGTACATTAATGATGTCAATGAGAACAAGGTTTACAATTTATTATCAAAACTATTAAAAATACTTAATTTGATTAACCGCGAAAGCCAAATAATCCAACAGTCACTATCTCATCGTTTTGTTTAAGGTTGTCGGTGCCCAATCGAATTTAGGTTTCACGAAAGTCTTTTTTTCAATGTCTATAAAACAAAAAGAAGTCTATATTAATATCACATATTAGCTACAAACAATATAGTTTATTTCATTATTGCGCTTTGCGACCGCCGAAAAACCCCCTTTTTCTAAATTAAAATGCATGGTTTAACTGCAGAAACAGTTTATTTTTATTGTGGTTGTATATATGGCCCAACATACCCGATTGCGTTGTAGGACCAAATTGATGTTATACCCGATTAAGTTGGAGCATTTTTAACAAATCGATTGTTGATCAGCGTCTGACAAAAAGCAACCAACGGTCAATTAATGATTAAACGACTTTCTCTCCATTTTAATGTGGAATTTTAAAGTTTTTGGCTAACGTTTAGGGTAATAGAAGAGTATATGTGGGTTTCTGAAGCTTTAAGGATTGACTCAAGAAGACCCCAAAAGTCGATTTCGGTTTAATCTGTCACAATTACTAATGACCACCTAACAATGTTGTGTTCTCATAATGCTGCACCGTCGGAAATTCAATCTTTAGGCTAGAATATAAATGCGTATTCTGACCGATTGGAAGAGCAGGGCATTAGTGTCTGTCACATAATTAGATAACCGACGCGATTTGAATGGGAGTTTCCTTCAAAGGCTCAACCAAACGAAGAGTTTTTTGTATAGTTCAGAGATTGAATCAAGACGTCAATAACTGAAATCGACTTGATTAAAAGTTACCAACCACGAAGAGCCGAATTCGGCTTTTTTAAAATGCCTATTAGTAGAAGATTACGCATAGAATTAAGTTTAGTCCTTATCGACAATTGGTTACTTGGGCTCTGATCTATGTCCGGATAAGGAGTATGAAACAAAAAATCCTATTACTAAGAGAGGGCAGAAGGTTGATCATAGACTTGGATATTGTGACTGGCAAGTACAGACCGTAAAATCCGTTTTCGATTGGACCAAATAATTTATTGACTCGGAGATGTCAAGCATGGGCATGGATTCTACAAGTTCAGTTGTTATATTTCGGTTGTCACGTAAACTATTGGCAAGTTACAAGAAACTGTCGCACGGTTGTCGCATAGTCGTAAACAAGTGTGATACAATAAATGCCCTTTTATTAATAATACGTTATTAAAACAATGCAAATTCGGATATTTGTCCCCAATATTGATATATTAATAATAATTGAAATAACTTTATTCATCTCTTGTAAATCAGTAAACAATTGGATCTGGTCGTTTTGGCGACATAATTCTATGAATGGATTAGTGACGACACAACAATCGTAATACGTAATCGTATCCCCCCATGTTCACCTTCCAGCCATTCACTTACTATTCTGCCCAGGTTGACACTTTTTTGACTATTGCCCAATACAGGTCAAATTGCGCATACACTAATATAGCTTACCACTCTACACCGAGTACATCATAGTAGTGCAGAACACTATATGAGAATATATTGATAAGAGGAAAACTTTTACATAAAAGGTCCTGCAGCGTTCTATTTTATTCTCAGTCGTTGCTTGCGTGGGTGTCCCTGTAAAGCTGTCATAAAGATACTCGAGATGGAAGATTCCTCTGAGCATGCTGTCGTGGTAAAATTCCGTTCTACCGGAAAGGACTTTAACTACAACTTTGATCCGGCACAGTTAACAGTACGACAATTGAAAGAAAGACTGACCACAAAGACTAGCATACCTGCTGATAGCATGCGTCTAGTGTACTCGGGTAGAGTGTTAAAAGACGAAGACACAGTCGAGTTATATGGTAAGTTATCAGTGTAGTATTTAACAGCAGTAATAATGGCAACGGCTGGGTAGCACCGTGTTGTTAGTTTCTTCTTTTTTTGTAAGATAGAACTTTCACCCATATATAAGTTAACATGCAACAGGCTTAATGCTTAATTAACCGTCAATTTATATATCGATGGCATTACTCATTATATTGTGTTTGAATCAACGTTACAGGAGTAAAAGCAGGGCATACAATTTACGTTGTAAAAATAGCGGCCAATCGTGCAGCAGAACAGGCAGCAAACGCTTCGACGACTACGACGGCCACAAGTACGACTGCGACACCGACGACATTACCATCTACCAGAGGATCTAACAACGTATCAGGGAATCCATTTGGAGCAAATTTATTCGGATTCGGGTCTGGACTTGATCCAGACGTTATGAGGAGTGTAATGAATTCCCCAATGCTCAGGGTAATGATGACATATTAAATGAGATTTGATGAGATTATAGTAATATGACGGTAATGGGTGTATTACTGATTAAGAATACGCGTTACTGCAAGAACGTTGATATCTTGCGTCTAAGAGTGCCCCAGTCTAATATCCTCCTTAAAAGATTACGACCAATCCAGTTCTTCAGCCTGGCCTAATACAAACAACTGTACTCATTCTGTGTTTGTTTGTTCTTTTCTTTTTTTTCGATCATTAGCATTTGTTATCGAACCCAGAGATTGTCAGATCGATGATGATGCAAAATCCGACTATGCGACAGATGATCGAACGTAATCCCGAGATCGGACATATAATTGTCGGTATTTAAGAAAATTTCATCCCTTATGAATATACTAACTGACAAGAAAAAAATTTTATGTGGTTGTACACTGCTATTAATTAAACTTCATTAACTGGTTTTTTCTTGTGTAGAATGACCCATCGTTCATTCGACAGGTTAGGAGAGAGAATGAAATTAATTGAATGTCTTGTAATATTTTCCATTGACTTATCGAACGCCTTCTTTAGACGATGGACATGGCTAGAAATCCAGAACTGATGAGGGAAATGATGCGTAACAATGGTAACTCACGCCCGACTGGAATTCGAAGTTATATGTTGTGTGGCTACATTAACTAATTTCTTTATTCTCTCTTATTAGATCGCGCATTAGCCAACTTGGAAACTATTCCAGGTGGATTTAATCATTTACGACGAATGTATCATACGCTGCAAGAACCCCTGGATTCTGCAGGAAGAAACGTAAAAAACTTTACCTTTATAAACTGTATTGCAATGGACCTTAAAATGAAATTCTAATGGTTGAAGTTTTTTTCCCGCACGTTATTTAGAACGATCAGTTATCAGAAATTGCTAACCAGCGACTTGCCCAGCTACTCAACGTGGAAAGCCCACCTGGTATGCATGTAACATGGGAATGTTGGATATTCTATATGAAAAGAAATATTAATATATTGTCATTGAACACGTTTATTAGAGGGACAGATCAATAGCACTCCTCTGCCCAATCCGTGGGCCCCGCGTAACAACAACCTGCAAACACAAGTTGGAAACCCATTTGCAAGTAAGCCCTGTCGCTTGAATGGTGAATGGTGACGGTGATAGTGATGATGACGATGGGGATTGTGATCGAGTGACTGCAATGGTATCAATTTGCAAGATTGTATTGATATCTGTAACTTTACATTTAACTCGAACTGGTACAGTAGAACCGGTATTACGACATCGTCTATCATCAGGATCAACGTCACTTTTACAATTACCTGTTTGCATCCTAATAGAACATTTTATTCATACCTCATTCTGTCAGATATATTTCCCGTCGGTGTCATACCACTTTCTAATCAAACGGTAAGTACCACGATTGATGTATGTTGTTAACTCTATCCGTATGTAAAAATTTGTTTTTCATACCAAACTAATTTCACCCTGTTCGAATAGCCTTTCTTAACATCAAATTCATCACGTAACCAGTCACCTCATTCATCAATAAGATCATCTACGTCGTCACCGTCTACTTCACAGTCGACTAATAACACAACAGGACCGGGACAGTCATCCAATAACTCTCCATTTCCAATACCTGGCATGCCAATGCCAGCAGACCCAGATTTTATCCGGCGTCTACAACAAACTGCAGAGAGGCTGTTTTCACATCAGTATACAACCTCACAACAGTCCCAACGGCCGAATTCATATTCAACATCGATGTTTAATCCCAATCCATTGTTAATGACTATGCAATCACCGTTCGGGTAAGCACATGGTGTATATGCAGTCTGAAAATAACTATTACTGATATATTAGCTTCGTGACTATATCCACTTGTAAGCATACTCACCGACTTTTATTTTATCTATCCGCTAGAAACGCGTCACCTCCGGCTCCACAACAGAATACTGATCCACCGCAAACACGTTTCCGTGATCAACTTCGAAGATTAGAAGAAATGGGATTTCATGATCAAGCACTTAATATCAGAGCTTTATTTGCTGCTGGAGGTGACGTAACGTCAGCTATTGATTGGCTACTGCAGAACCTCAACTGAGAGACATTTTTCCTGATCGATTAAATATTTATAATTAACATACGTAAGTCATTGAACATTCATTGTCACTGAACGTATGTCTATTGTTGATTTGTGTTGTTGGGTTTTGGTTTGTTGTTGGTGTTTGGTGTTTGTTTGTAGTTTGTAGTTTGTCGTTTGTCGTTTGTATTTTGTTGGTTATTGTTGTTTTTCCATGGGTTTTTGTTTTGTTGTTTTGTTTTGTTTTTCTCATTTATATACACTGGGAGTTGGCCAATTTTGGTAATTGAATCGGATGGTGTATTTCTGTTGTTTTAATCGTGTTTTTATTATCGGGGTTTCCGTCACATGCACAGAATGCATTTGGGACATGCTAGCAAATATTTTTTTTTATATTCCTTTATTCTCCCCTCATTTACGTAGAGTTTGCCAAAGTGAGCATTTTGTTTGTTTCTGTTATTATTTGGTTGCTATTGTTTTTGATCTACCAGTTATTCGTGGATTTAAGTTGGTGGCACGCTTGGGTGATTCGAAAGACTATGACTGGATGATCAAAACTCTCGCTACCGATTGACAATATTTCTTAAAAGTCTTAGCTTATAATTTACACGCATCGTTTGTATTGTTGCAATTGAGACGAATATATGACAGGTGGAAGGAATGCAATTAAGGATAAGATGGCAATAAAGCGAACAGGAAGAACACAAAGAGCAACACTCGATTTATGATACCGATAGTTTTAAAAGTACAAAGATAAAAGGAGGATTATTTGTAAAAGTAGACTTATATTCGGTAATCGAGAGCTCAAATGGGACCGAGGATTTCTTATTCAATTCACGAACTATAATAACTTGTAAACCGGCCCCATATACTGAGATGTTATTAATTGTAACAATATATAAACAACATTGTTATTCTCTTCGATGCGATGCATAAATCATAGTGACTTGCTTCTGCAAAGATAATTGTACGATGTCGTCAACAAACGTAATTGGATTCTGTAACACGTTCATACGCAATCATTAATATTGCGTTTTGAAATAATATCAATGCGTTTATACAAAAATTTTGTGAACATCAAAATTCCTATAACATAATTATAAGGCATATTATGCATTTCAATGATGTTTGGAATAAAATCCTAAAATTTAATAATTTAATAAGTGAACCGACAAAAAACTGTAGACTATATGTCGGATATCTTTTTACCAAGAAAATTAATCTTCTAGTGCTATTTACAATAAAAAATGCTGGCACTTTGCAAATTTTTGTTAATAACTTAGAGCTGCTCAGTTGATATTTCGTTATACAATGCCTTAATCAAATTCAAGGCTCGTTTTTATTGCATAAAAGTTAAATTCAAAACGCGTTGAAAGAATTTTTGTGAAATCCATTATCTCTTTATTACGAGTACAATTTGCTATTACTATCGCGAAAACATTAATTAAACTGCCAAGAGTTTACTACACGTAAAAACTTTATGAAAATTGCACTTGATAAACCCCGCCATTATTATTTTTTCCAAGACTGTATACACAGACAAGCTCTCGTTTAAAATCCTCGGATTCCTTGATAAGTCGGACAACTATGCCCAACTCGTAGTGTCCGATTTATCGAGTTTATCTGTAGCTATGTTTTAGTCCAAATTGGGACTGTTATTTATAAATTTATTGTCATTTAATTATAATTTACGAAATTAATATGTCGTAGCGTATCAGCGGTCTGCAATCATAAAAAGGTTTTATTCTCTAGAACTTGCCTCTGGCATAATTCGCAAGGAGATAGCAGTAGATCCGAGTACGTTCATAGACATGAAATTGTGAAGTATCGGGTAGATCAAATCAATATCCTCCGATTGATCTTGCAGCTCCCTGTACAGAGAAGACTTCTAAATATCGTAATTCTTGCTCTTGTGAAATAATCACGTGTTCTTATGTAATAACTATCGTGAGGACTCAAACTACCTTTAGCGGAACATATCAGTTCAATTCAGAAGATAAAAAGATGGCTTGAGGACTTCACCAACGATAGACATATACAGTAATAATAAGCAATTATTATTATCCAGTGGATAACGATAATCAGTTGAGATGATTTCGATTATTAATACACTCCCCCTACAAGGACATAATACCTCAAACTGATAATAAAAACCGACTCATTACACAACACCGAAAGACTAAAAGCAAGCTTTAGAGGTCCACCTTAATTGTGTCGAATAGCACACTTTCGAAAGGAAAATGCAATTAAGCGTGCGGAAAGTATTATTACCGATTATCCGAAAGAATTCTTGATCACGTTCTCCACATACCATTAAAGAGAAATCAATCTCGAAATTACGTGACCAGCATACCAATAGGCAAGGCGACTTAATGATTCGCGCATTGACATTGCTGGTATGTAAAAGGTGCCCACCCAAGTTTGCATTTTGCTCCGTAAAAGAGAATTAAATATTGATCGATGAGCTCAAATCCTTTATAGTGGCGTGGACTTCAAAATATTTCCCGAAATTGCTTCTGCAGAGTAATTATCTAATAAACATAATACCAATTAAAAGATGCCATTGAGTGTTATTTCTCTAACGACGTTGTTCTCGTTATGTAAATTATGGATAAAGCAAACAGAAGCAGTCACGGAGTTTATTTCTCCAAGGGGTTCTTAGATAGTGATTCGTCGTTGAAAATCTTTTATGCCTAAAAGTGTTCGCAAAAAATAATGGCATGTAGTCTACAGCATAACGTTGTTCTTGTTTGTCTTTACTCATAAACCGTCAATTTATTAATTTTGCGGAAACACAGCTTGCTTTGCCTGTGCCTTAAATAAGTGCACTTCACTCGAGGACAATCACAGAGATAATAGCAAAAAACAGCAGTCACACTCTCAGATTTAAACACTATTCTTAATTCCATACAACATATTTGCTTCAATTATGCACAAAGAAGATACTTACCGAAATGGCTTCGGCAGATGGATGAGGCAATCGGAACACGTCAGTGAGTTCTTTATAATGTTGGCAGAAATAATAGATAGATACAGAACAGCAATTATTCAACGTGTCACATGGACAGACGATTGGACTTGGACCATCTATAACCCAGGACGATTTCAGACGCGCCGAAAATGTTATTAGAATATTCTCCCTCCCACTTCCTAATCGCCGCATACAACATAGAATGGTACTCCACTCATCTCGACTTACCCCGACATGAGCTTATTCCGCTCGTTCCTTTCCTTGACGTCGACAACTTTACACACAGGATGATGTCTTTGTCCATTATCTTATTGTACCCAATGTTACTAAATGAATCATAAATAATCTTTCTTCTCGTTTTTATTCTCTCTTCAGTAGTGTTCGTTGAAATATCGCTTTGGAAGCCGTTTTGTTACTTTTTTGAGCCTGATGCTCTCTAAAATTTACTCTTGATACTTTCGGGTTCTTCTCCAAATGAATGATAACAGCTTATACAATCAGTAAGATTCCCCAAAGCAGAATTTGATAATGTTAACTCTTCGATAAGTTTCTTCAAATTAGTGGTCCACTGTCCTTAGTTGAGGGAATTGTTGGTTTACAAGCTAGTGTTTCATTAGAATCGAGTCGACTAGCTTGTAGCTATATATAATTACCGACCCCGCTGACTGTAACAAACGTAACATTATATTTGAATAGATCAGGCATAGGCTTAGCGGTAGTCATGCATGGAGAATCAGGTGGGGATTTTTCCACGTGATTGGATAAATCAATCTAATATATAAAAACCCAACAACGAATACACCTAACCATAGATCAATTATGGATACGCAAGACAATATGTGGCCACCTGTGTATTACGCTTTACCTGAGCATCAAATAAGTTTCGAAGGGTTTTTAATTAACCTTCGAGCATTTGTAGGCGCCGTAAGTAACTGTATTAACATGTACAGGACTATCATTTATCATTGCATATTGCAAGTTTACCGATGTATTATCCTGCCATTTCGCAGATCGATTGGACTGAACCGTGGCTTGTATGCGTATTGCTCTTCCACGTGCTAATGTTTTTTATAATAATCGCCGTTCGAAAGAACACGAACGTTCTATGTGCATTTACTTTTGGATTGAGTATGTGTCTATCAAATTGCTTATATTTGTTCTAATCAAAATAGAGAGTAACATTATTTTCTTGCGGCGAATGCAAATTAGTGGCCGTGACTTTTCTCTTGCAGCCTATAAATACTATTGCAAATCTTTATTGGAATTACTTTGCAAAACAGAACTATTTTGACCAAAATGGGTTGTTTATAGCCGTCATATTTGCCTTGCCTGCGCTGTGTAATATAATTCTTGGAATCGTAAGATATAACGATGGGGTTTGGTTTGTGAGATGGGTTCGGATAAGGGATAACATATTTGATGGCAAACTCTCTTTTTTTTCAGTGCCTGATATTAATAGAAGTACTCAACCTTCTGAAACGCGTAAAAGTTGCTCAACTTAAACGAAAACGTGCACAGGTTCAGCTTATTCAGTCAGAGGAAGATAAAGAACAGCTTGAGCAACCGTCGCCTGCTCAATCGAAGAAGGATCAGTAACATAAATTTTTGAGCTTAAGTAATCTAATTGTCTATTGTTACCTTTAATATTATAATAATTAATAACATCGTTTTCACTTTTTGTCTCAACATAAACGAATTAAATCTATAACTCGCTTTTGTACTATCTTGGACCTTACAATATTATCATAGTCTACGGCATAATAGGTTTATCACATCTTTAAACGGATTTCTTTCCATTATTTGCTCTCGATATATTTTTTATCTCTGCTTCAATAGCTATTAACTCTTCCATGGAAAAGAAATCGTCATCTGTAATTACAACATCCTTCCGACTATCCCGATGGTCAGCCGTCATTTTTAAATAATTGCTATCCAATATATTATCGTTCCGTAGTAAGTAATTTGATGTATATGACTGAGAACTTGATGACGGAGAGCGATATGACATAGACACAATCGGTGTCCGTTTTGCTTCAGTCTCTGCCAACGGATTGTCCTTTGTATTTGGCTTTTTCAAAAGCGTATTTATCTCTCTGTCTAACTTAGCTGTCA